GTGTCTTTTATAATTTAATCTCAGGAGTGACATCTCATTATCACATCTGTTGTTTTCTATTAGTCACAAAAACCAATCCTGGGAGTAAATTACAGGAGGCAGGGGTCATTTGGAGCCATCTTGGAGGCTGGTTACCACATATCCCAAGTACCTACCTAAAACAATGAAAAAATCCAATAAACACTTGCTAGATTGGACTGAACCCACTGGTGGCTGGCAATTCAACTGAGGTATAATAGTCCACGACTTAAGAGTGACTGGTTAGGCCATCCAGATTCAGTTACCAAGTTGCCCCATACTTGAGTTCAGTGATGGTGCACTATATAACCGAGAAATTGAGAGGAATGAAAATATGACTGTTTTTGAACTAAACATACTAGGTTTACGTACCAGGTTACCAAATGTGACTATATAGGTACGTAAATGACTAATAGCAATATGTAAATCACACACATGTTCTCTTGCTTAATCACCAATCCTTCATTTAGAATTAGTCACATCTCCCACCTACGAGTGGCTAGAAGCCAGATCTAAGACTGACATGGCTCTCTCAGGCCTTTCCTCCCACCCTTGCTCCCACCAGCTCTTATATCCCTTGATTCTCTTGGCTGGTCTTTGCCTTCTAAAATAGTTCCATTTTTAAATGTATGCTGGATGCAACAGTACTTGCTCAAAATTGCTGTATATTTATTTCAGGTTCTTTTCTCTGGTTCCTTTCTTTCTACTTCATCTCCCACCATTCTCTCCCTCCCACGTAATGCATGTTTTAGTCATGAAAAAATACTCAGAGATCTTCAAAGACACAGTATGGTTAATGTTTCTGTGCCTTGACACATGCTCTCCTTCCAGAAATATAATCCCCAGGTCCTTTTCTGCCTAGCGTACTTCTTTTCGCCTTTCAAATCTCTGCTCGAGCATTGTCCCTTCTAATGAAATTCTCGTGATTTCCCAGTAACAGGGCCTGCCATGTCCCTGTGGCACACCAGGACTGCTGAAACTTACAATTGCTTCCATTTCTGAGCCATTCCTGATCATTTAAGCGTGTTTTTTACACATGTATCTTCCCAAACTGTGAGCTTCTTGAAGGCAGTCTGTACTTTTTACCCCAAATACCTATCCTCAGTGCCAAGACTATAGTAAATTTTCAATAAATATTTCAACAAATGAACTGGGGAACTGAGAAACTACATCCCTGGACATAGCAATGCACTGCTCAACTAGACAGCTATGGTTCTACTCTATAAAACCACAATTTTGTTTATGTCCTCACTTGGCACACTCTGTCCATCTTTGAGTGGTTCCATTCCCTTTGTTCTAGACTAATTGCTAAGCTATATCAATCTTTGCTACTTCTTCTGAAGATCTTTGCTTCTGCTTCTCAAGGGGTCACTTGTGTATTGGCCACTTGATAGTCCTCAAGTCTTCTCGATTCCAAAGGGATCATTCTGGTTAGATCAAAAGGCCAGACAGTGTGATATGATTAAACATGCAGGCTTTGAAATACATAGGTATGTGTTTGTTTGTTGTGTGACACTGGACGAGTGACCTCATCTCTGTATGCCAGGTAAAATAGGGAAGATAATACTTTAGCTTGTTTTGAGGATTACATTGGTAAGGTCCTGGCAGGAAATTGATTTCATCCAGATTATTCAAATGAACAGATTACTTACAGAGGTAGGAGCAAGGATGAGGGAACAAAAAGGGTTGTTAAGGCACTCAGAGACAAGCAGCAGCAGGAAGCCATTATCATTCTTAAGGCTGAAAAGGACAAAGGGAGGAATAGTGTGCCCTGAGCCACAGAGAGCTGGAAGGGGGAAGAGGTGGGCGTGGAGGGGGCGGAAGCAAGGGAACTATGGTGTGGAAGGACACAGCTAAGGCTGGAAATGCAGCTGGAAGCGTGGAGGGAATGAGGAAGACATTTCCTGGTGTTTCTCTGATCCTACCCTCCCACTGCCTGCTGGTGTCGCCCATTGGTTGAAATGACAGTCAGAAGGTGAGTGAGCCTGGGAGGTATAGCTTGTAGGGTTCAGCTTCCTGGCACACAGAACAGAGCAGAGCTGGCTTTGAGAAGGGGTTGAGGGGCCAGAAACTAGCCAGCACAAGGATTAAGGGAGAAAATGTATATAGTGTACTTTCCAGGACCTGGCATATAATTAAGTACTCAAGAAAAAGTAGTGGTGGTTACTGTTAGTATTACAATGTGAGGTCAGTGTGCTTTCTGGTTATACTGAGGCAGGACAGGCAGTGCAGGGAAAGCCCCTACTGCTCCAGGCTATGGCTCTGGAAATTTTTTCCTTTCCTCAGACCTCCCTCCCTGTTTTAGCCCCAGGAGGGGGAATAAACCAAAACCAGTCTTTTCCACCCTAGACACTATCTTTGGCTAAAGTAGACATTTGGCTAATTATAATATCATTATAATCTCACCTCATTGCAAATACTGGCAACTCCCATCATGCAGCTGACACCATGACAGTTCCGGAAATACCATATGAAGAAGAAAAAGTGGGACCTGGGCTCCGCCTCAGGGAAAACAAAAGAATTCATAACCAGCCATCTTGCTCACTGGTTCTTTCTCTCTAGTAAACCTGTGCTGCAGGCGAAAGTCAGTGAACTGGGTTGGGCTTAGAAAATCAGAGAACCGTGACTCTAGGGCAGAGTCTCAGATGGAAAACTTTCTCTCCCTACCACCCCTTGTGGTAGTAAGGTGAACCAACATGAAATACTCAGTCCTGGAGCTTCCAAATAGCAGCTACAGTTCTTGGTGGGCCCTCAAAGAACACTTCTCCCATACTGTGCATTAGGAGCTTCGAGGCAGGGTGAGAGTGGGGATGTCAGGGGTTGAACAGGGACCTTTTAGCAAAGTTTTACAGAGGGACCTGAATTTACTTGTGTCCAATTGACTTGACAATTGAGCATTCTAAGTCTCTCCCAAGGGACACAGAAAGACATTTTGGGGGCAGGGGGTCTAACCTTTTAAATATTAGTTCTTTGCAACAGGAAACTAGTTCAAGTTTCAGTAATAATTGAAATTTAAAAATAAATAAAACTATAGCTACAGGAATGAGCTATTTCTCTGCACCTGGATTGAGACGTTAACTTTTGATAAAATAAAGGAATTTCTTAAAGTTCATGTTTTTTTAAAAAAATTGATTGTATACCTCTAATGTAAAAATAAAGAAATGTTGAATATTTTTTTATTCAACATTGTGTTAGCTCAAAGAGAAAAACAAAACACTAGGGCCCTGCCCTTTAAAAACTGAAAATCTTGATAAACAAGTTAAAAAATTATTAGAACAATTTAAAACCCAGTATGTGCATATTTTATGAACCTAAATAAATGAAGCATAAATTTTGTGATCCTTAAAATATGTGCACTGGCTAATCATTCATGGCACATGAAATGCATGAAATTTCATCATTCTTAATATATTCACCTTGAAGGCTTGTAATTTGAGAGCTAGTTAGAAAACAATGATTATATATTGTGAGGATTCAATCCAAGGTATAAATTTTGTCATAAGAACTGGGCAGACAGAATTTAATAGGATTAAGCTTGCCTTTCAAAGTAAATTCTGAAAGGAAATGACCTTCGTATTGTAACAAGTCAATTCACATGTCATTAAGATGGAATCTACCCAGCTTGTCTGGGACTCAGCTTTTGAAGATGTGAAAAATTCTATAATGAATAGCTATTGTTTTATTAATTTATGAAAAAAGTCAGAATTAACATATGTTAACCTACAGACTAAGGATACAGTTACCTAGACCCTTTTGTTATCCCCAAGGACAAAGCTAACAAGAACCCATATTCAGTATATTTGACTAGAGACTAGGGAAGCTCATTCTTAGCAGTGTTAATCTTGTTTAATAAAAGAATACTCAAGTCAGTCTAACATCCCAGTCCTAATTGAAGTGAGCATTCAAGTTATTTCCTTCTTCATCTCAACCATAGAGCAATGGCTGATGGAGTGATAAACCAAGACCATCAAAAAACAAGGTGTAATTTGCCTTTTTCTTTTAGGAGTCATTAGCTCAATCATTTAAGGAATAATATTAACTCAAATATCTCGGCACATAGAGAGGTCAATAGCAAAGGGACACTCTCCAATCCTTCCGAATTTTTCACCAGGAAAAAATCTCATCACTTGTTTTAAAGGACATTAGAAAAAAAGTCCTACGTTTAAAGTATAGAAGATAAAATGTATTTGTATTTGATAAAATACAAATTTTATAGAAGATAAAATGTAAATGTATTTGAAAAGTTAAAGCTACACTTCAACCAAATAGTTTTCCTGAGAATTGCTAATCTAAAAGTTAGCTTTCAAAGGGAGAGGGAGGGGATTAACACTATCTATGAACAATGTATAAAGAGTGATATTTTCATACTATGAAATGCTACTTGATAAGACTATGAATATACTCAATAACATAAATGAATCTCAAAAACCTGAACAAAAGTCAGTCACAAAAGAGTACATACATATGATTTACATGAATTTCTATAAAAAGCAACACTAATCTATGGCGATACAAATCAAAACAAGTTATGTGGGGAGGGGTTAATTAGAAAGGGGCTTGAGAGAATTTTCTGAAGCAATGGAAGTTCTGTATCTTTATTAGGGTTGTAGTTACCAAATCTCAAATGATACATTTTTTAATGAAAATTATACCTCGGCTTTTTAAAAAAGTACTATTTAGTTATTGGATCCTAAAGTTAAGTATACTCTACCACCATAGAAAGAATCTAATAAATCTTGCTATTATTAAAAATCAATACATACAGACAACAGAATGGTAGTTACCAGAAGGAAATGGGGGTTGAGGAGGGCAAAGTGGTTAAAGGAGAGCAAGTATATGATAACAGAAGGAAACCAGACTTCAGGTGGTGAGCACGCAACAGAATATGCAGATGTTGAATTATAATCTTGTACACCTGAAAATTATGTTATTAACCAATGTTATCCCAATAAATTTAATTTAAAAAAAAAAAAAAGAGGCCATTCAGAAAGCAGATATGAAGCTTTAATTCACTGTGGGTATTTCTTGGACCATACTCTATATTATATATAAACTTTTCTTATGTCTTCACGCAAATACATCTTTTATAAGACACAGTTTTTCTACCAAGTACTGTATACCATACCACCATTCACTTAAGTAGTTAAGGGTGTATTATAAATATCATGAGCCATTGATTAAATATAAATACAGAAGTTGATATGTTTATTAGAAAGTTTAATTTAAAAAAGTTTAAGAAAGGCTAAATATGATGAAAGGTTATATGTATTCTTTAATTCTAGATATAAGATCACTGTGACAACCAATTACAATAAAATCACAACTGCTTTCAGATGATAGTAGATTCAGATTTCTAACATCCCATTATTTTTGTCTCAACAATGAACACCACACTGCATTTTCATTCTAGAGAGTAGACCAGCTTTCAGACTGCAGACCAAGTTTCTTGTGTATTATATTAATGGCAATTATGTTCATCATGACCACAGGAAACTAAATTTATATATACTGTACCATATAAAGATGAGACTTTATTACATATATAGTATTATGGAACTTTTTATAGTGATCAAAAGAAATTAAAATAGCTTGAAAATGGGTTTTAATTGCTACTACAGTCTAAATATATTTCATTAAAAGAAAAAGCCTCTGTCAAAAAAAAACATTTAGAAATAAATATATAGTACAGCCTTTTCCCCCTCCAAAATGCTGCTTGGAAGAAAAGTTCCAAGCTGTAATCTTCCTGAGTCTATTTTTCAACAGGAATAAGTTTTGTAGTCAGTTCTACATTGCTGTAGTGTGCACAGTCCAGAGTCCTTGAACATGTAGTTCATATTCTACAGAAATCTGAAAGGACTCCTAAACAACCCTCAACTAATTACACAAGGGAAAGCTGATGTTTTATATTAAAATCTATATGAATATCAAACATAGTCAAAGCCATTCTTTTAACAGTGATGCTACAGTAAGTGATGAAAATATATGTACAGCTATACACAGATCACCATAAAACATAGGAAAATGCCATTTGTTACATATCAAATAAGTTCCCAAAAAGCCAATTTGAACATATTTACTTTCATTTACTTCAATACAGCAATAGAAGGGACTGCAAATAATTACAGAGGCTGCTTCAAATAACACTTGATGCTTTTAAGTGTTCTATTAAGCATCAGACATGCAAAATAGTTACCTTTTAAAATTTCTCATGTACATATCTTAATATTTCTATTTATAAGCTACAATGTTTAAAGCATTTAGTAATTTTTAAGCCAAATATTTTAACTGCTTTATGTCTAAGTGGGGAAAACAAAACTTCCTCCTGTCTCAACACCCAATGGTAAAACTTACTCCCCAAATTGACATGTAAACTTATATATATCATCCTTAAAATTCCAAGTGATAGAAATCCTTATCACTATGAAATTAGAAGTATGACTTCCCAGCAGCACTCTACCCGCCCCACACACATATGTACAACATGCCAAGCCTTTGGGAATTACATAAGAGTGATATGCTGGTGACTATCAATGACAATAGTTGAACATATCAGTCTCTTCTTTTTATTCTGGATCTTTTTATTTCAAACTAAATAAACTTTTTCATTAATACAAACTAAAAAAAAAAAATCTTTTTTTATTTAACATCAATATAAGAGTAGATAAAACTAAAATCCTTTATTGTCTTCAAGTGTGTGGCAAAATAGAAAACGTTTCAATGACATTAGGTAATTGGATAGAGAAGGGAGTAGTTTGCTTTTCCATCTCGAAAATATTCCAAATAGTCACAAACACAAATTCAGATTGCCTGATTCTCAGTCATCTGTGGTTTAAAGTGGATCTGAAAACCACTTCAGGTTAAACTAAATTTATATAAATAATGCACAGATTGAATATCTAGGAAATCATGCAATGAATGTTCTCATGTACACTGGAATCTTAGTGATGGAAGGGGCTTGCAGGTGTGAACTGTTGTTTCTTCCCTTTTACCAAGAGAACATGCCCAGCAAAATCCTTGCTTTTGGCCTATTCAAGATCCTACTTGCCAGGTCATCCTGATTTTCTCAGACTGATACAAGAAGCCAGTGTCACAAGACACCTGCAATAAGAAACTGACTTGACTCAAGTGCAGGTGGTGTGAGGTCTGAGCCAGGCAGAATGAGATGATCCCGCTGCCCTGCTGCCAATTCAACTGGAGTTCTTGACTAACTACAAGATGAACTGGGTAAATGTTTAGAATGACCCACTGGAAATGCTTATTATTTTAGTATCTTTTAAAAATCTACCTACCTTGTAAATCAACTTCATTCGAGAGTCAACAGGGTAAGAAATTCACTACTCCTGGTTTTGATATGCCCCTATAACATGAGAATTGAACTGAACTACAATAATTGTAATGTCATCTCTGTACATCCGAGCCAGCTCTTCAGGAAGACTCAACATTTTGGAGAGGCGCTCATGATCAACAGTCCCAAACTCGTTGTTGCCCACAGCATGGCGAATTAGATGAGTTGCTGCATTCTGATCCTCGAATACTGAGGACATTTTGGCTCTCCTCTCTGTTAAAAGGCCATGCATCTGTCCCAGAGTCACCTTGTAGCCACCAACAGCTATTGGTTGTTGGTGGTGCATGCCCGTTAGGTACTCACCCACGATCCTAACCACATCCTGCCTATGCATTGTCTCCCACAAACCATCAGTAGCCAACACCAGAAACTTATCCTGTGGCCTTAATCGGTGGTAAGTTACCTCTGGCTCAGCAGTGAGATAAGGAGGTGTGTAATAATTAGGAGGGATAAACTTGGTATATTCGTTGTCATTCAACTGGTCTGGGCCAGATTCTATCACTCTCTTTTGAAGGTCAATGCTCCATTTGAACTTTACATCTCCAAAAGCCCTAAAAGGCATCAGCAAGCCAAGCAGCCGATCCTGTTTCACCACACTCTTGGCCTCATTCTTTGGGTGTTCCAATTTCAGTCGTTCCAATTCTCTTTCATTCTGAGCATTGTGGTCATTAGAGAGAGTGACTGCTGACCAAGAGCCATCCTCTTCCTGCACACCTAGCATGGCTCTGCTATCGCCAGTATTGGCCACATGAAGGTCAACACCATCTACATGGGCCACACAAGCCGTGGCCCCAGAAAATGCCACTCGAAGCACCAGGTAGTTGAGGAAAGAATTAGGATCACCGACTTGAGCCTCCAAGGAGATGTCATTATCAAGTCTTTTGAAAGCATTAATTAAAGCCTCCTTGACATCAATATCAGCTGACTCTCCAGTGTTGAGGTCTATAAGCTCTTGCCAGTAAGTCCTCAAGCTGTTGAAGTACAATTTGGATGCCTCCTTACTGAAGTAATCATTGGGGTGCTTGTGCCACTGGAGAATGGGTAGCAGTGCCCGACCGCTCTCCACTGCATTTTCAATCTCTAGCAAAGTCTCATGGGGTAACAAAGAGACAGCAATATAATAAAAGAGTCTTTCACTGACCGCTTGGGAACAAGCACAGCCTGCATGGCCATCAAACACCCCCAAAAGCATCCCTCTGGTCTGCAAGCAGGTTGCTGCACTTCTCCGGTCCTCGATGGGTGCATTCGCAGGTAGTTGATTGCTGTCAAATCCAAGGACAGAACTGACATTTTTGCCATCAAATTCTGGCACTTTGAAACTGTATTCATTTGCTTTCAGGATGCTGTTGACTTGTGGAGGTGTGAGGTAAAATTTCTGTGGTGTGGAAGCATATTTCCTTCCTTGGGTATATTGCCACCAATTCTCCTTTGGCCTGCAGAAGGTGGAATACGCCAGATGGGGTGTATATCTCAGGCGACTCTGAGGAATGTAAGGGGATGAGCAGCAGAGATGTTTGTGGTGGCAATAACACGCAGTGCCATAGATTCTGCTCAGTTCACAGTTACGGATCAGAGGAAAAAACAGTTGAGTTGGTGCTGGCATGGCATCAGAGAACAGTGGCAGGCTGGAACTTCTGACTGGGATTCCTAGACCGCAAATTACACAGGTACATACACACAAAAAAAGTTATATTTCAGATTAATCTATTTTGCTTTTATAGCAAATATTTAGCAGGTGAAACTACATACTAAGCCCTGTGCTATGAGGCACTGTATTTTATACCCATATCATATACTATCTCTACAGGGTATATTTGCTAAGCACCAAGTTCTCAATCTTTTATAGAGCTAGGATTGAACTGCAGTCCAGCTTTACTTTACTTTTTTCTTTTTTTTCCATATTTCTTGTATAGCACAAACTATGCAAAATGTATGATAGGTTTGGCTGGGGAAAGCTGAGGAGATGAATGTTATATAACATTATGCAGTGACAGTCCAGCTGGCCAATCACCCTTCTCTCTCCCTATCCTTAAAAAAGGCCTTGGATTTCCCATATTGCTGAGACTTCTCCCATTTATGAAGATCCTATTTCTAGATCTGTGGTCAATTGTTAGCATTTGATGACATAAGGTTATCACCAAAAAAGTATTAAGATGCATCCTCAACATAAGTATGTTCATAAACTATTTGTAAGTTTACACATATACTACTGTACTAATATAATATTCATTAGAACATACACAAAAAATTTTACATAATGAATAAAAAATTCCAACATTACCTTCATACACCCCAGTGGATGGTCTGCAAAAAATGCTTTCTAGACCACTGTACCAATCTGATGAGCTCAGGGACATAGGTCTGCCACCAAATTGCCAAATTTATCCTGTAAAAGCTGGTTCACCTCTTTAGGCCTAATTTTCCTCAGTTATAAGTGAACACATCAGAACAGATGCTATCTAAGGCCTCTTCTAGGATTCTATGCCTTTATAAGTGTTTGCTGCAGTGAGGCTTTGAAATTAAATGCAGGTTTCATTACCAGTTGTTTAATTTTACTGTGTCCTTCATGATTAAAAAGAAAAAAAAGTTTAAGTATTCTAGCAGCTCCAAACTTTGTTAGTAACATAAACAGTTTCAGTGCTAGAATTTAATTTACTTGTTAGCATTTTCTTCTGCTTATCAGCCATAAGGAAAAGCTACAGGAAGATTATTTTCATGTATTATGGATCCCAAGTAGAATTTACCACTAGAATGTAAGAGAATATTTTCTCTTACATTAAAAAAAGATATCTATCTGTCTTTGGGATAAAATACTAGTCTAAGAATCTTAAGGTATGGATAAAAATGGTAGAGACTTATAATCATGAATAAAATTAAATCATATCACTCAGTATATGACACTGAAAAGATTTTGCTGGGCATTTATTTGAAAATTTAATGAATGTTTACCAGTAACCCAGATAACTTATATGAGAAAAATAATCTTTCTTCCTCAATAATATTTCCCTGAATTCTTGAGGTATTGTATTCATTTGGCCTATAAAGAAACAGGCTTTGCAAATACTTTAAATAAGGAAATAAATGCAGTAAATAAAAAGAAATAAAGGGAACAAAACCAACTGAATCTTAGTATCAGCTATTCCTAAGGTTGAGCCCATTAAGGAACAAAAAATTTACAAATATCATGAAGTGTTAGCTATATATTGCATTACTTTTGCATACCCTCTTTTAAAGAGTAATTGGAGAAAAAGTGCTGAGTGGGGTGTGGGAGAGCAGAGAAAACCAAACAGAATAACTAACTGATCCTTGTTTGCTTCTGTAATAAGCACGACATTAGGCAGTTATATAGGAGCAGTTTTGCAAGAGATAGAAAGTACCATTATTTTAACTGTACTAGTTAAAAAGGGAATTTTTTTTACAAAATTGAAGACAAAAATAAGCAATAAAAGGTAAAATTAGAATTCTGGAAATAAGATCAATAACTGTTCTAAAATGCAGTAATGAAAAATAGAGATTCCAGAAGAACAGGAATCTATCAAGACTAACCACCTAAATAACAGTACTTCAAACTGAACTTGAAAGTCATCCAGAGGTTAAGTGTACATGACTGAGCCAGGAGATGTGCTCAAATGTTGGGCCACATGATACTGGCTTCCAGACATAAACCATACCTTGTTAGGTTTGCATGCAAAAAGCACATTAACTCATTTCATGCTCTCTACAAAGATTTTCTATTACTAAAAATGTAAACAGATGCCAATCTTAAAAAAAAAAAAAAAGAAATTTTCTCCATAAATTTATATTTGTGCTTACTTTAAAACTCAAGAATCCTAAAGAAAAAAAAAATGTGTGTTTCTGGAGTGTAGCTTGAATCAAAGTATTATGTGTCTCCGCACATGCATTTGTGTGCAAGTTTCGAAGGAGGGATTTAATAGATGTATAACAGGATTTCCTTACATGATGTCTAATCGAGAAATAACAAGCCAGGAAATCTGCACTTTTCTCAAATCTTTTTGTTTTGAATTTTTTTCTGCTTCTGTAAGTTGATTGCAAAATTAATTAAATATTGTGTGGCAAAAAAACTAATGATTCATACAGCAAATGCTTTGAATAACACATACATTCAAACAGAAAGCACTTAAATGTTCAAATAATATACATTTTACCTTCAAAGCAAAAGTTCTCAAAATTGAAAACAAAAAAACAGAGAGTGAATTTTATCAACTATATTTTTCAGTTATTATATGAACTGAGATTGTATCTCAATCCCTCAACTCCCAATATGGCATCAAAAGACACATTCTTAGAGAAGCTGAAGTTCGTGAAAACCGCATTCTTTGATTAATAAGCATCCTATCTTCACCAGTACAGGTCATATATTCTCACCATCAAACCAGATAGATACCCTTAGCTGTCTAAGTACTTTCAAATATTTTCAGAAACCACTCTGAGTATCTTTCTGAATATTCTGTGATTCACCAACAAAATCGTGAAAACAAAACTTTTGTTAACTATCTTGCTAAATTAATGGAAATAGAAAACTCTTGATTGGGCCAAAAACAGCAACAAGGTGCAGTTGTTAGTAAACTGGAGCTGTGTCAAAATTTCAAGTTATTTTTGACTACGTTTTCATTGAAAAGTTTCTATCCTATGATTCAGACTGAGCCATGTTACATGCAGCATCTTCATCCTAGGAGAATTTGGCCGATTTTGCCAATGACTAATAAAGAAAGATGCACTGCGACCCAACACAGGAGTGAGACCCATTCTCACTGATGTGCTCTGCAGAGCCTATGCCAAGAAAAGATTCCACTTCATCAGTAAACCCATAGAACAAATTAGTTATTAGATGCTGTTACTGCACAGACTCTTTTCGCTTTGCAAAGCTTTTGGTGTAAATTAAAAAAAAAAATGATATACTAGTCATCAGATGTGTCAGAACCTCAGTTTAGGTAATCCGATCGCATTAAATACCCTGCATAAAGACTAAGATTTTTCAGCATTTTCTGGAAATGCCTAACCATTTCACGGCTCCCATTATGTTTACACGAACGAAGAAACAGGTTTCCTTCCAAAGCCTCAGAAGCCCCAAGCCAACACTTGTTTTATTAGTTTCCTTTGTCCTTAGCTGAAAATTGCACTCACCAAGGCATCCATCCAAGCAGCCTTTGTACCCTTTTTCTAACTACCTTGCCCTTGATTCCATGCCGACCCATCTAAAACTATCCACACACAAAATCAGTCACCATCCTTCCTGGGTACCCAACGCAGGTCTTTAAGTGAATACCTACCAATTCGTCTGGGCCCGGGACACACACACATTCTCCTGTCATCACAACACGGAGCCGACAACATCCACAACCCGCGCGGCCAGCAGCGGCGACAGCAGCACCGGCCCATTGAAAGCAATGCAGAGATGCTCATTAGAGGCGGCGGGGAAGGCGGGAGCGGAGGAGGGGCGAGGTCTCAAACTAGCCTAGTGAATGGGGCTGGGCTGGGAAGAGGGAAGAGGACAGAGGGAGAAACGGGTGGGGAGAAGGAAAGCAAACCAACCAACCAACCCACCCACCCACCTCACGAGAAAAGCAGAGCCACGGCCCAAGGCGGCAGGGGCCTAGACGCGAGCAGGGGAGCGCCCCAGGACCATCCCCTCCAACCAGCCCCTGCGCTAAGTCCACGGGCGCGCCGCATCCTCCGCCTGCTGCCAGCCCCACCCGGCCCCAAACGCCGACGGCTTCGGTCTAGACCAGAGGCGGCCCAGGGCAGGCTGCCCGTGGGGTCACCCCAGACTCCTGAGTGTGTCAGGGGGATCCCTCGGGCAGAGAAGACATACCGCCTGCGCAGCACCTCCCGGGAGCTCGCCCTCCGGCGGGTCCCATAGGTGCTGACAGCCGGCGCAATGGGGTGGCTCCCACCCCGAGCCTAGCGCCGCTTTTTTCTCTCTGCACGCCCGCGGCCGCCTCATCCCAGGCGCGGCGCCCCCTCACAACTCTGGGTGGAAGAGGATTCGGACCCGCTGGTTCGGGGCCGGGAGCAGGGAATACGAACCGGGCACGGCAAGGGAGGAGCCACTTCTTCCCAACGAGGAGGCGGCCGCGGCGGCTGCACCACCAGTGCTCTTTCCGCACTGCCGGGCACAACTCCCCGAGTCCGGTCTCGCGCCCAGCGCCAGCTCACCCCTCACCCCGCCCCGCGGGGTAGCCGCCCTGCCCCGCCCACGCGTTCCGGTCCGGCGCTTTCTGTCTCCTGATTGGCTGCCGCAGAGGCGAGGAGGCGGGGAAGGGAGCGGCTGGCTGCCGGGGTGCGGGGCGGAAGAGCTGTGAGCTCCCAGCCAGCTCTGTGGCGTCACGAGGGTCAGACAATCCCTTCCATTCGGCACGAGCCACCCATTGGTTCCAAGGGCACGCCTCACGTGACAGAGCCCGGAGGCGCGGTGGAAGGTGGGGCAGCGCCGCGCTGCGGATCAGGGACCTGCGGGGCTGTGCGGCGAAGACGAGGTTGGTGGGGGGTTGCCGCGGGCCGAGTAGGGGGAAGCACCCGGGCCGCCCCAGCAGCCCACCGCACGTGGGGCCCCGGGCACCGGCTGCTCCCCGCCAGGCGGCAGGGCACCGGCCGTGCTTCCCGCGCGCCTCACTGGTGCGGTCGGCTGCGGGGGCGGCTCCCCGCCCAACCGGAAACTAAGTTCCCTGCCGCCCCACCCTAGAATCTAAGGCACAGCATTCCGAGAGTGTTGCCCCATTCATTTGATATTTTGCAGAGTTTAGGAGCATTAATGTGTATTTTTTTTTGTCGTTTTCTGGACACCTCTCAAGTCCCGGGGCGGGGGCGGGGGAGAGGGCGGGGGATGGAGAGCCGGTCTAAACTACGGCAAGAGGAAGTAGCGAAGGAATTCTTTCCCTTGTAGGTGTGCGCTTATGTTCTCTGAATGGCTTTGAAATAAGTATTGTGTCGCTTACCCTGAATAGTTAAAAGAGGGCAGAATTAGCTTTCAGAAGTGGGAAGAGCACTCGACGTGGAGTCGCAGGATCTTAATCCAAGTCATTTCCGCTTTATGAGACTTAGTTTCCGCTTCTGTGAGATGAGGTTAGGTTTGGGGAGACGTTGGCACTGTGGTTAAAGGGAAGACATCTCAAGGGCTTTTTCACTTGCCTCCTTCCACACATTTCTCCTCTTTAAGTGAACTGAATCATTGATACTAAGTTCTAAAAACTTCACACACTGAGTTTACTTTGATTTATTAAGCGTATTTGCCAGCAGAAGTTCACAAAGTGATGTGGGCTGGTATAAACACTCATCTTAACAGTATCGTGGAGTTTTATTTTTATTAATCTTATATAATTTGATTTTTATGTATTCAAGGAAGAACAGAAAACAGTGTCAGAAACTGGTTCTTCATGACCCCCAGATCTTTCCAGCTTCCTCTTGTCTCTAAATGAGAGGAGAGCCTTTTTGTCCATCTTCAGGTTTTCTGTTGAACTCTCGCGGCTACTCTGCGGCCTTCATCCCAGTTTACACGGGTCGATCTGCCTCATTTCTACTTTCTACTCTTTCTTTTCTATTTCTCAGATGAACTTACCATAAATTTGTCTTCTTCATTGTCCTTTTTTCTATTGAGTGTTTGATTTATGTATCTGACTTTCTCTTGTCTCATAGAGACAGTAAAAGGTTGATGGATTGTTAGAGCATAGCTGAAGCCAGATTGCCGGGGTTCCAACCCCATCTCTGCAGTTTATTGTTTGGTCTTGGGCAACTTCCTTCAGGCTCAGTTCTCTCATATGGATGATAAGAATAAAAATAGTAACAGAGTTTCATTAAGTGAGTTTATATAAATATCTGTCATGCTAAGAAAGTACAAAATAGGAGGAGGTAGTAATATTATAGATGTGTGCAGGTCATTGTGTCTCATAGATTAAGGACTAGAGAGTAGGAGACCCATACCACCAAGTGAAATCTGTTATCAGATATTAATACTAGAGAGTCTTAGAACCTGATGATATCAATTTAATTTACATAAGTGTCACTGCCCTACTCTGCAGACATGGAGACCAGTTAACTGAAGCTAAGAATGGATTATTATTTTAAGAGTTTCTGCCTGTGGACTCAGAAATGAGGTTATTTATACTAGGCTTGACTGTTGTCTATAAACTTTTTCCTAATGATTGCAGAAATAGAGTAATGGTACTCCAGAATGTATGCAGTTATCCCTCAGTATCCTCAGGGGATTAATTCCAGACACCCCACCTCCCCTATGGATTCCAAAATCTCAGGATGCTCAAGTCTCTTACATAAAGTGGCACAAAACAATGCATAGTTAGCTCTCTTCATTTGCAGATTATGCGGATGAAAAATACTCTCTTCAATCCACTATTGGTTGAATCCACGAATGTGAAACCCATGGATCCAGAGCGCTGACTGTGCAGCTTTCTCAATGACCTCTTCGAAGTTGTCACCTTGGTAACATATATCTTATGCCACACCAACATTGCCATTATTCAGAGCACTTTTAAAATTACCTTTTCAAATTGTTTTTTGATCTGCACAGGAAACTAACTTGTTTTACTACAACTAGCACCTTGGTTTTTATACCAAAATAGTTTTGATTCCTCCATCTTAAGAATTTTGGTTCTGAATGATCTGGCTGTTTCTGAAAATAACAACCACTCTCAAGTAACTGGTATTTGTCACCACTAAATATGTCAAAATAATTTATCATGAGTATTGAAGGCAATGCCAAGGTATTTCTGGAATCAGATTAAAGGCTCCCCAAAGTAATAACTTTGAAATTCTCATTTAGAAGTGTAAGTTTTGTTATTTAATTGCAAAGTTGTATGGTTCTATGATACGTATATTATAAATAAAGTCCCAGTCCTGAAGAGAATATAACTGCTTGTACCACTGGGGGACAGGGGGTGGAGGGGTGTGATTCTTTAACATCTCAACCTTGTCTTCTTCTGGCCTGGCTTCCTCTCTTTAGCTGGAGCTCCGTTTCACGACCCAATAGGCTTGCTTCAAAAGGGCTTTTTGTCATCACATGGCCATCTGGCCAGGGCTGCAGCAAGACCTTGGGTTTGCTACTCTGTCCCCACAGACTGTTTTAGTCTCCAGAACACCTGTTCACACTTCAGCATTGGAAGGTGTAGAAAAGTAGCACAAAACCCAGGGTTGTTGTAGAGAAGAGCAGGCAAGAAGAAAGGGGCTTCAAAAATAGTATGGTTCAAAGAAAACATTGTGCAAAATTACCTATTTTGTCTACACACATGCTTTCTGTGTTAAAATGCAAAGACAGTTCCTGAATGAGACCATTAGCACTGAGTCATTTTCTTGCCCTTGAATAAACTTGGAAATGAGCAAGTGCTTAACCAGTTTTGCCTGCTGTTTTTGTGGGTGGGTGATAAAACCCTTAAGGATATTGGAGGTTAGCTGTGACAACATGGAGATGGTCCAGCAATCTTAGTGGTACCAGCCAGAAAGCTTAAAATAGATTTGAGATTTGAGATGCTGTCTGCCTGATGGTTAGTGACTTCATTGTGGCCTTTGCAAAAATTAGCTATTAGAGGGAAATGAGGCTGGCCTGCCATACTCTTCTTTAGTTTCTACTTCCCAACAGGTCTTGGATAGGACATCAGCAAGTAATTACAAAGTACTTAAGTGATAGGTACCTGTTTTATTACCATCCCAGTGATGATTGTTGGTTTTTTGAAACTTAAGGTACTTGGAGCTGTGCACTGAGAATGGCAAATCATTTATAAGAAAGAAACAATAGGTATTCTAGCTCATCTCTTGTGGGCCAGAGGCTGCTTTAGTGCTTTCACATTTGTCTCATTTAATATTTTTAAAGTAATCTGTTCGTGGAATTCATAAGATAACTTTTGTTCAAGGGGAAAAAATAAGCTTTATTTACTTGCTAGTGGGGTGTATCATCAAATGCTAAGGATGACATGTGGCGGGTGGTATTTTCTAGCCATTGGGTAGTCTGGCAAGGTTAATTTTCAGTGTAATTCTGTAGATAGACTCCCCCAAATACAGAAGGTAAAAGGTGAAAGAAGGCCTTCAGGGAAACCAAGTTATTGGGGTGGGTCTAGAACACTTTTTACAATAAGTGCCAGGTCATGGGCGCCTCCGAAGCAGCTGATGCCAATCAGGAGACTTCAGCAGGGCCCCCTATGCTATGAACTCAAAAAAACCACTTCTTAAAAACTAACATTCTTTGCTTACCTGTACACTTTAACTACTAGTGTGTATATATATATAGGCTTCTCAAGGACAGGAATCACGTCTCTTTCTTGCACTGATAGAAACCCATGGCTTGGCATATAGTGAGGATTAACAGGTTGTGAGTGCTTTATTCTACCCTTGTTCTAAGTGCATTGCCTTAGTATATCCTCATAATACTCATGAGGTAGGTGTTATTCTTATATCCATTTCACAGGAGAGGATACAGTCTCAGGGTGAGTTGCCCCAGAATCACATAAGTAGAAAGTAGAAGAACCATTTACCCTAAGGCACTATGTTATAGTGACTACAGCACACAATAGATGCTCAATAATGAACTCATTTCAAATGAAAAAAGGGGCATATTGCAACAGCTGAGTGCTTTGTGATAATTAAAGAACTATAGGAAGAAAGTTTTACATTTTCATTATGGATTTGAGGGCAAACTATATTCTTGTAATTGCAGAATTTCCACCCAGGCTTATTGTGTCTGTGACCAGCAATATATTTTGCACAGCTCAGTGTATCACCACTGACTGACCACTCTTGGCAGAGTCCTGCAGGGTTTGGTTATTTTTTTTTTCAGAAAAACCAGTTGTTGGCTATAAAAGCTTATTTTCCTTAGAAACCAGATATTATAAATATCTGTAGATAAATACCTGATATAGTCAATTCACATGCTAGTAGTAAACCATAGTTGGTTGTATGATACAAAACAATCTTCTGAAAGCTAAGATTATGTTTATTTTAGAATGTTTTATTTTTAAGCAGTCCCAACGGAAGAGAGAAAAGTTCAAGGATAGAAAGAAGATAGAAATTAAAGAGGAATGTTAATAATAGCTACTGAGTTATGTATCCAGTTTCTGTTAGGAACAATAAGCTCTGGAAATCTAATCAGAATATTTAGAGTATTTATTACTCAGGCACAATATCCGGGTTGTGATTTTATCCCTACTTAAGGCATCATGGTTTTGTGAAATGAGTATGAATTGGAGACCTGAGTTCAAATCCTAGCTCTGCTTCTTACTAGCTGGGTAATCTTTCCAGATTTACCCAATAGCCTCAACTTTTTCAAAATCAAAGATGTTATAAGGATTAATGATAATTAAATGAAAATGCCAAATGATGGCAGGCAAATAGCACCAAGTGGTAGCACCTAAATGAGTCCCCTAAATGGCTGCTATACCAATACCACAAATTTAGTGGCTTCAAATGACACACATAACTTACAGTTCAGAGGTCAGAAGTCAGACACTGGTCTCAGTAGGCTAAAATCAGGGTGTCGGCAGAGCTTCATCTTGTTCCAGAGACTTTAAGGGAGAATCTGTTTGTTTGCCTTAACCAGCATGAGAAGCTGCCCGCTGTCCTTGCTCGTGGCTCCTTTCTCCATGTTCAAACCTAGCAATGTAGCATCAGCAGATCACTCTCTGACTCTGATCTCTTCTGCTTTCCTTTCTAAAGAACCCTGTGATTGCATTAGGTCGGCTGTGATAATCCAGGATAACTCTTTATTTTGAAGTCAGCTGATTAGCAACCCTAATTCCACCTGTTAACATAGCATATTCACAGGTTCTGGGGATTAGGGTGTGAACATCTTTTAGGGAGGGGCATTCTGCATACCATAGTGCTTTTCTGCCTTAACACTGTTCATTCATTCATATACTTATTTAGGGAAAATATAAATAATACGAATAATATGATAACAATTAATAAAAGTACCTTTACCCCAAGGAAAACTTATGGATAGAGAATTTAGATATAAAAAATAAAAAATTAACAGACAATGAAAGACAGTATGCAACAAGCCCCAGTATGAGCCATTCAAGTTTGTGCTACAGGCTTTTGGAGGACAGATTAATAAGATGTGCGAGAAAGAAAAAAATCACTGGAAATTATGATCGTCTATAAGAAGTACTGTAATAAGGGTGTCCCCTTCTTTTCACAAAACGTAAATGTGATCTTAGATTGCAAAAGGAGGTGATAGCCTTTTTCCATTCTGCCTTGAGGAGTCCCCACCAAACTTTGAAGGGTATAACAAAGCTTCAGTGGAGCCAGAGGAAGGCAGCCAGCAGGGTGAAGGGCCTAGAATCAGAACATGAGAAGTTTAGTGATAGTCATGGTGTGGTCTTCAAATAATTAAATGACAGTCATATGAAAAGAAAGCTAGATTTATCTTTGAAAACTCTGGAATTTGAAAATGCTAGAATAGATGTATTAGAAGTGAGATTTAATCTTAATATGATAATTTTATGTGGTTATAGATTTCTGAAAATGGAATAAGCTCCCCCTTTAGGTAATGAGTTTCCTGTTACTGGAGGTGTTCAAGTAGAATCTAGACAACAAGTATCAAAAAATGTGTTCCCACGGCTCTTTTGTTTATGTTTTGAACATTGTACATACATTGTAATCATTTGCATTCCAGTCTCCCTGTATAAATCATGACTTCTGTCTGGGATGAACTTGTCCAATTCATTTTATTTGGTTTAGGAAGTACCCAGTAAATATGGGATGGATGAAGGGATGATGCATGGTGAAGTCGAGGATTGAACAGATTGACATTTAGAGTCCCTCTTGACTCTCTTGAGGCTCTCAGTTCTCTGAGCTAGGAATTGAACTAGGTTTAAATTAGGGAATTTGAATCCAGAAAAGTGGAGGTGGTGGTTGCGCATTCTAAGTTTTACAGTATAGAAAGGCCCAGAGCGGAGAGGGAGCAAATCCAAGTGGAGGAGCTGTGTTGGGTGAAGAACGGGAGTTAGAGGTGGGGCAGGAGGCTGGGTCTTGATTTCCTGTAGTCTGGACCAGGTTGACACTTGACTAAGTCGTTATGAAAGGAGAGTAAAAGTATTCCGACAGTCTTATGTACCAGGCTAGATTGGGAATGACTGGGGAACTTGCCGAATTGTGTCCCCTCTCAAATTCATTATGTTGAAGTCCTAATTCCCAGTGTGATGGTATGGGCAGGTGGGGCCTTTGGGAGGTGATTAGGTTTAGATGAGGTCTTGAAAATAGGGCTCTCGATGATGAGACTACTGCTATTATAAGAAGAGACACAGGAAAGTTGCCCTACCCACTTTGTGCAAGGACGTATAAGAGAAGGGGGTTGGGGCTGTCTGCAAGCCAGGAAAAAGCGCCCTCACCAGGGAACAGAAAAATAAATGTTGGCAGTTTGTTTAAGCCACCCAGGCTATTGTATTTTGTTATGGCAGCCTGAACTGGCTAAGACAGGGCTGTTACCTAAATCTGGGAGTGAAGAGTTACAAGTCTGAGCTAGGCAATGGCAGCAAGATTATAAAGAAGGGAACAGACAGAAAAGACATTACTAAAAGCATCAGGACTTGGTGACTAGGAAAGTAAGAAAGGGTAAAAAGGAAGGGGTATTAAAGAGGCCCCAAGTTTTGTGCATGGGTGACCATGAAGGTGGACATTTATGTCTACTGAGGTTCTTACTGACATGGAAGGAGTATGGGGAAATATTTGGAATATCTAGGATTTTCCAAAACTTTCCATTAAGTTCGTGGCTGAAAATTGGCTGTTCTTAATATTTGTGAGGATGGAAAGTGAACAGTATTAGCCTGTGAAGGGGAAACGATTGTTAGGGATGAGCTATAATACTGGTAATACTGTGCCCCAAATGGTGGTAGTAACAGCAGGTACTGTTGTATGAGAGCCCATTATGGGCCTACAGTATGAGACACCGCACATGTATCTATGGATGTGAAGGCCTCAGCTGTACTCTACACAGGGTCTGCTTTAGGGTAGAGCCCAAGGAGATTCTCATCCATGTTAGTACTAAGGATAATCATATGTCTCTTAAGTAACCGGGTTTTATTTTTTTAATTGTTGGACTCTGAAATGAATAAATAACTGACTGTGTCTGTGTGTGTGGGTGGAGGGAGGTTGGAGTTATTACCAAAAGTTTCAGAGCCAGAAATGTGGCATAGTTACAGGGTTGTGTGATATATTATTTTTAGCCTTCCTCCCATTTCTTTTTTATATCCCACCCTTGTTTTTCTATGTTCCTCTTTTAATTTATGCTGTCCTATATTTTATGCATTCCTGAAAGTAGTTATAAATTCATTCTGGAATGAAGGAGAACAAGTATAAATATGTTTCTATTTACGTTAGTCCCCACCTTATAAATGAGGAAGCAGAGATTCACTTTCTCTAATTTAGCAAGATCACAGTGGGTATATTAGTTGTCTATCGCTGAGTAACAAATCGCCCCCAAAATAAGCAGTGTAAAACAATAAACATTTTCTCACTCGGTGTCCGAGAGGAGTCTAGAAGCAGTGTAGCTGGGTGGTTTTGGCTGAGGTCTGATGAGGCTGCGGCCAAACTGTCAGCTGTGGCTGCTGTTATTAGAAGGCTTGCCTGGGGCTGAAGATTCTACTTCCAGCACATTTCCGTGTCCTGGACAGAACATTTCAGTTCCTTGCCTCCTGGGCGTCCTACAGGTTTTCTCACAACACAGGAGCTAGTTATCCTCAAAGCACGTGATCTGAGAGGGACACGGATAGAAGCTGCAATGTCTTTTATACCTTAATCTCAGAAGTATCATGCAATCACTTCTGTATTATCCTATTGGTCACACAAACTAACCCCAGTGAATTTGGAAGGGAACGCCACCAGGGCATGAATGCCAGGGGTGGGGGATCATTAGAACCCATCTTGGAGGCTGCCGACCACAATGAGTAAATAATGTAGATGAGCCTGCATGTTGATGCTTTTACAAAAGCATTGAATTCATACTTGCTCAAGTTCAGTCCCCAGAGCTGTTTCTGTTTCTTTCATCTTGAAGATTGGGTGAATGAGCACCAACAATTCCCAAAGCTGCCAGTTTCATCCAAAAAACTTTATGTAGCTTCATAACTCTATTTAATCACTACTGAAGGTAAATACAAGACAACTCTAACTTTCAGATAATTAACTTTTTGATACCACTAAGAAATTAAAATAATAGCTAACATAACTATATATTTACATTCTCTGAATTTGGTAGTGCAAAAAATAATTATAATTTCAATTCACTTTTTCTGTTCTTCATGGGAGATACATGTGTACAAAGGATAAAAGTTTTTTGTGATTCTGGTTCTCATAAGATGATTTCACCCCTTATTTGTCAATGTAATGAGAAAATCCATAAAGATATTTTTACGGAACATATTTTACCACATAGCTGAACTGTAGCCAGATTTTGTCAGGGAAATAAACTGCTGGCTCAGTGTTCAGTCGTCAGATCACAGATCCATGACTTACAATAAACCACCTGGATAAATGAACACAGAGGATCTCATTTCCTGTTGGCTGTTGTCCTACCTTTTGATGATTCTCACTCTTTTCTGCATCCGGAAATCTCATTTTCATTTGAAGTATGTATAAGTCGAGGTCATTGTTACTGTTTAAACACAACTCAGCTAAAAAAGTTTCTAAGCCGAGAACAATGGTGCTGACTAGTTATTTCAACTTC